GAAGGCAATGAAAACAGGGCCCGGTCGTCTGTTCTTCACCGGAGATGGGACAGGCAAGGTGACTGTTTGGAACTATTTTGGAGAGCCAAGTAAGGTGGCGGCTGCTTGATTTAATTAAAAGAAATTGTAGCACCCAATTTTGCAACATTAATTGTTTCCAATTGTAATTACTACTAAGTACTTTGCCTATTCACTTGATGTAATCCTTCCAGAAATATATATTCATGATGAGGAATTATTCAGTTATATTTCTTGTTCCTGTTTGGTTCTTTTATATACCCTTTTCAGTTAGCTTCAATATTACAATATGAGATAGCAATTTCCTTTTCTAAATCACTTTTTGCATATTTAAAATAACATGTTTTATAAAGCAATTTCAGAAGATCATGTAAAGACAGAAACATAAACAAAATACAACTCACATTATGTTGCCCACAGCAAACATGGTATTGGACTCTCTTCATCTAACCAGAACTCATATGAGTTGTTACTTGTATGTGTACTCAGACCTTCTGGAGCTTTTACTCTCCAATGATCCACGTGGTTAGCTGACATGGGTCTCCAAACGATCTGCATGACTTATGAATAATCCCCAGGTCGGCAACGATTAGATCATATGCCTTGAAAGCTGCTATCATCTCTGATTCAACAGGAGCAGGATCCACAATGTCAATCATGTTCATGCGTAGGACCTCAGCATGGTGCTTCTCTCTCTCAAAATCATCTTGGAAGGGTTCCATTTCCGCCTCCGCTCATTCAAACATTTACAGGAAACAAATATATAAAAAGCAGAAATAAAACGCTGCCACATATTTGTTGTTCTTTAAATCTAATTTAGTTGCGTGGAAATTGAACTAATTAAACAAAACAATAACATGAGACTTGTTGGATTCAGTATATTTGCAATCATAGACAGGATATCAGAAGAAACATTTTATGCTAATAATACTTTAGTTAATTTACTTTGCTTTATCAGACAGATAATTAACTTTACCAGAAATAATTCAGCATAATCCTTAAAAGTTTTATTGTTTTTATCCTGATCACGAGGAAGTGTTTCACCACACCAACCATTGCTTTCATTAACAGACGTCATTGAGAGGTACCTTGAAAAGCAAGAAACCCAACTGAATTTTAAATACAATGTAAAGCTATAGAAGCAACTTTATGCGGTGGTCAAGAACCAAAGGCTAAGAGAAAGAATACAAGGAAATGGTAGCAGAAATGAATGTCATGATTTGGGATTGACAATGTGTCCTCTAGTGTGTTTATGTTGTAGTATATGTGTATGCCCATGCACAGATATAGATGCATGCATGAAGTATCTGCTAGATTGGCTGAGGCCAATCTTAGAATTTCCAGGCTGAATCATGCTAGGAAAAATGAGCTAAATTCCAGGCCTCACCTCATCATAAGCCTACTAAGGGGCTAGCCCAACAAATTAAGTGGAACCATAATATGGTTCCACAAAATCAAAGAAAAGCATGTCTATTTATCCTGCAAAAGAAGAATGGCTTTCTTAGAAAATACTTCTGGAAGAAATCTTGTTCATCTATATCACTGTATGAAGAAGACCAGTTAGTTGGGATTTTTTATC